TGCGATTATTTTCTCTTTCTAATGAATGGTCAATGAAGAAGACCGGATTCATCCGACCACGCAAGCGGAAACGTGCATTAGACAGAACGGTGTCGAAGGCCGGATGGCATTTGGTCAGTCCAAGCTGGACATCTGCTGTTCCCCTCTATCCGCCACTGCTGCTGTTCGGCCCGCTGCCGCGCGTCGAACATCATCAGTCGTGGAGATGTATCGATGTGGGTTCTTTCAAGTACCTTCTTCTCGTTCGTTCTTCTTCTTTGAGGCCCTCGTCGTAGAAGAGGCGAATTTATCTGATTTCGCGCGCTTTGCACATCCGTCATGCCGCATGCGCTTTGTATAGGGTTGAGTCGTGTTGAGTGAGCAGGCATTTCAATCACGTCTAACCATCCATCATTCGAGCCTTTCGGATTTATTCGATTCTTCAGAACAGCGTTGCGATCTCTGGAGATCGATGTGAGACTGCAGGCGTTTGCCCTTTTGCATTTTTTCCTCAGTGTTTATTCTAAATTGCTATGCCCTTATGAAATCGGCTCCCATAGGGATTTTCCTCTCGACATTTCATTAATACCAGAGCTTTCCATCTCTGTCTATCACTTTAATGCTATATTATCTCCTGGGAATTCATGAAGAGACCATTTCTTCTGACCTCAGTCTTGAAGCTTCCTCTTTCTGAGGTCTTTTCGTAGGACGCGTTGTTTGTAGTGGTACATACTGCCTCTTTTCGCGGCTCCAAAGAGTTGCGTAAAATAGTGCTGAAAAGGATATTTAAGCTCCAGTGAAATTTGCTGGGGTTTGCTCAGTTCCTGTCAACATATCGTACCTTTTGCAGAAGTCCTGGAATCTTTCGTGAAGTCATTTTCCAATTTTTTTTATAAATTCTACTAAATCCGAAATAAATAAATCCGCTAAATTATCTGTTGGTGTGTTTCACCGGAAACTGTTACCTTAATGGGGAGGGGGTGAAAAGGCGGAGCTGGTGTGGCGCAACTCACACTGTGTGCGGTCTGGGGTCATTCCGGATTGGTTCCCGCCCAGGCCATCTGAACCATCTACCTCAGTGGCAACTTGATGGGTTACTCGGCCTGTGAAGAACCTGTGCGGTGTCAACGGACTTGTGTCAGGTTGAATCTAGTAGAGGATCATGAGCGAAGAAATCACTCAGAGCTAAGGGCGATGAGATTTGCCGAAGGCCCTAGGCCAAGAAGCCCCGGGGGAAGGTTAACGAAGCCACAAGAAGGATTCTGTTCGCACCTACCCGTAGCTCCTTCACTGCTTCGAAAGC